CCCCCCCCCGCCCCGCCCCGCCCAGCCCTCGCCCAGCCCTCGCCCAGACCTCGCCCAGCCCTGCCCTTCCCATTCAGCACGTGGGAGAGGAAGGTGCGCGCCTCTCTGCCGGGGCAGACTTTCCAGGAACCCCTTTCTGCCCTTTCACCCTTCAGTCCCAGCGTGGATGCTCCTTTACTGCCAAGGTCTGTTCACTGGGGAGAGTTTGGCTCCTAGGACACACTTTTCACGTGGAGTTTACATCCTGGACTGTGCATTTTGTTCTTTTTATAGAGCATCTAAGCGACGTTGCATTTTCGTTAAGCAGCTGATTTTGAGCGTGGTCGCTGTGCACGGGGCCGCCCGTCACCCTCCGCAGCGCGCGCCCCATCCTCTTCCTCCGGGTACCGCGCAGCCCCTCTGCCGCCTGTTATCCTGCGTTTTCTCCTTTGCTGTACACCCACTCCTCTTGCCGGAACTGTACGGGGTCTAGTTTTTCTTTACCGCTTTTCACACCCACACCATTTACAACTTCAAGTGGCTGAGAGCTTGAACAGCTTTTCCATTTCCTAGTTGAGGGAGTTTTTTCTTTTCTTTTTTTTTTAAACTGTTTTCCAGGGAACAGCGCTTGTTTATTCCAGAGACCAGTGCATCCATTTGCTATTACTCTTTCTGTTCTGTTATCTTTCTTCCCCCCAAATAAAAACTCAGCCTCTCTTGTAAACATTTTAGACATTCATCCTCAGGGTCAAAAGTCAGAGAGAATAAACAGCTCCTTTGAACTGCTTTAAAAAACGATGACTCCGTCGTGTTCTCTCGGAGGTGAGCCCAGCCTTTCTCTTCACCACAGGTGTACAGCTCCCCCGTCCCTAACTCGCCTTTCAATACATTGTTGTGTGCTTTACCGTTTTGAAGGGTTTTTGCACTGAAATGTGTCAAACAAGCATAATTACTACAGATAGAAAAAAGCAGAGGATGTTAGTTGATAACCAAGCAAAAAAAATTACACATGATCCTATTCTGTCAGATCCTGTTTCATGAATGCACAGAGAGCTGTGTGAGCGGCCGCGCGGAAGAGGGGGAGTCTCACGGTCCACATCTCGAATTGTTAAGCCTTCACTTTTCCTTTCACATCCCAAGACCAAAGCCAATCTTGCACTCCAGTCTCCGTCCTCTTTTTTTTTTTAAATCAGTCGTCACAACAAAACGATGTTCGGGTCAAGTGGTGTTGGCAGTAGTGCTCACTTTGACCTGCTTCCATCCGCATGACCTCCTGTTCACGGTCCAGAATTCCAGCTCAAAGAAAAAAAGAACAAGGAAATCGACAAGGAAGAATATGTAGGCTAATGATGAGCAGCTAAAATTTATTTCAACTCTTTTCACAGTTTATTTGCGGTAATCTCCTGAGGCTGCCGCTCCTCTAACCCAAACCTTTGCTCTTAAAATCACAAGGTACCGTGTGCAGGTGGAGAATGTTTAAATCCCAGCTCTCCTACATGCTGAGGAAAAATAATTTGTGGTTGACACGTGTCCAGGGATAGACAAGGGGGTGAAATTAGTGAAAATCAGGGTTTTAATTTCCTCTGGCGTCCAGTGCATCCGTGGTCACCGAGCCCTGGACAGGCCTGCTCTAACTTCTTATACAAGCAACACTGTCACCTTAGCATCTCCAGACTTCTTGCAATTCCAGTGCAAAATATAAAATTATCTCTTGACCTTCTTACAAAATCAGTTAGATGCTGCCCAGAAGTGTAGTGAATTTTGTATTTTCCTTAATTGCATTCCCAGTTTTGTGTTTAGTGTTAAAAAGCATGTTTGTTCTCATGTTAATCTTTGGAGAGGGAGTTATTAGTAAATTTTAAGTCTCCATGATTTAGCAGTGGAAATAGTCTATTTCTGTTCACATTTTCTTAGTAGAGGGTCAAGTTGTGAATTCGAGTGCATTATATACTACTAAATGTTTATAGGATTCATCTTCATAGTAGTACGATTGCATGTTAATATAAGTTTAGAGTCAGATTCACAATAGGTTGCCATTACTGAAAAACTGTTATACTGTGGGCTTCCCTGGTGGCGCAGTGGTTGAGGGTCCGCCTGCCGATTCAGGGCACACGGGTTCGTGCCCCAGTCCGGGAAGATCCCACGTGCCGCGGAGCGGCTGGGCCCGTGAGCCATGGCCGCTGAGCCTGCGCGTCCGGAGCCTGTGCTCCGCAACGGGAGGGGCTGCAACAGTGAGAGGCCCGCGTACCGCAAAAGAAAAAACAAAAAACAAAAAACTGGTATGCTGTAAATATATTCCCTTTTTTGGTGCTAGTAGAATGATTAGTACTATATTCATGGTGCATTAAATGGAGGCAAATGACCTTAACACTTGAGCATCTTTCATCTGGGAACGTACTCTAGGGTGGATACCTTAATTTGTTTGACAGTTTATAGTTTTCAGATACATTACCTTTAAAGTTTCCCATAATCTTGTGATTTAGGCAAAACAGACATTATTGTCATTATATTGTATATGTTGTAGGTATAGTATTGTCACTTACTGATGAAGAAGTAGAGGTTCTTACTAGTAGCTAATCCAGGACATAGGTCTTCTGGTTAAATCCAGCATATTCTTAGTTCAGTAAACTGGTAATAGCAACAAGAGATTTATCGACAATAACACTAATACTGATATCATACACTTATTAGCTTGTGCTGCAAAGCACTGTGCTGAACAATTCATATACACGGTCTTGTGAATTTTATTTCATCCTCACAACAACTCTATGCGTGGAAAGTATTCTGACTCTGGTTTTATAATGTAGGCACCTGAAGGTTCAGAGAGGTTAGGCAAAGTGTGCGGGACCACACAGATAATTAGTAGAAAAGGTGGGGTCTGAGACCAGAACTACCTGCCCCTAAATCCTATACATGTTTTCAATGGCATCAGGCTGGCAAAAGAATGGCAGTTGGAGGCTCTGAAAATGCCTGGCTGGGTTTATATTTAGACTTTCTACTGCTCTTCAGGATTCTCAGGGTCATCTTGTGAGGCATTTATTTCTTATTTTGTGAAAACAGAACTACTGAAGGGGAAGAATCTCAACCATGTTTGCCCCAAACTGTTTATTCTTATGTATACTATATAATGCAAGACTTCCACCTGAACACGTTTCTTTGTTATAGGTACTAAAGGCTTCGATCTGCAACAAGGGAATAAAATTATACTCATTAGACAGTTTCATCATAAGAAAATTACTTGAAATGCAGCTGCCCCCCCCCCACGCCCTATATCATGTTAGCTGGCTTCCCCGGGCCTGTGTAGGACATTTTTTCCAGGCCCCCTCCCCATCCACCTGGGTATTCCTTAATAACGACTTCTGCCTCTGATTTACACAGTTGGCAGGACCATTAGTTAAAAGAGCTGTCATATTCAATCACGGCTATTAAGAAAACCTAAGAAAATGCCTAATAAAGCTCACTTTGTTTTTCCTAACGCCTGCCATATTATAAATTTTACGTACTTCCCAAAGGCCTATATTGACAATAAAAATGGCTGGGAAAGATTATGGTAGTCACAGAGAATGGCAGGCAGTGGAGTAGTTCCTTAATGATCCTCGTAATCAGCTGCTCAGCTATGAGCCAACTAGTTTGTTTGCACGACTCAGATTACCTTCTATAAGGTCCGTTCTCAGAATTTAACCAGTGTTAGCCAGTTGTTTCGTGTATGAACCTTCCAAGTCCTTAAAGAGGTTTCCTTGAGTCCATCAGCCTTTGATCTTGCTCCTTCCCATGTAAATTCTCTGCTTTCGGAGGCCAAGCCCCTGGGCTCCCACTCACGCCCTGTCACCATCCGCAGTCGTGTTCTTCCTCCTGCGCCGGTGCCTTTGTTCCCATTCTTCCTGCCTCCTCTACTCCTGCTTGCGTGTTCTCTTCTCCAAGGCTCATCTCTGTCTTGAAACTTTCCACAGCAGTTCAGCCCGTGTGAGCTTCTTGACCTTAGAGATGGTGTTTTACACATCTGTGTATTTTTCACGTCTAGTTCAATGCCTGACGCTTAGCCGGTACTTGACAAATCAAATAGATGTTGAGCACCCGCGCGGTGCCAGGACTCTGCTGGGCCCTGGGGCGTGGATCGGATGAGAGCGAGGCCCCTTCCTTGTGCTTTGGGTCTGCTCCACGCTTTG